AAATTTGGTTTAGGTATAACCGGATAATTGAATGGTAAAGATGTAGTATCTGGTTGGGCTTTAGAGTATTGACTAAAGGGTTGAGAATCAACTAGGTTTTGCTGTTCTCCATTATCTGCACAAAAATTAAACTGGTTATTTTCTTTTTCTAAATAAATTTTTCTACTTAACCAGTCTGTTAATTTATTATCGCTTCCTTTAATATGCTCAAATTCTACTTTATATCCCTGTCCTACTATACAATCTAAAAATTTTGCCCATCTTCTAGTACTTAATTTACGCTCGTTTAGTTTGTTATGAAATCTAACTATGGCTTCACAATCTGTCCTTATTGTAAAAGGTTTGTACAAAAATAATCTAAATTTATTTGTTGCGTATACTACTCCTAGTATTTCAAAATCTAGGCTGGTCATAGTTGTATCTTTTTCTTTAAATTTTTCAGAACTGTATCTACAAATGCGTTCTTTATTTTTACTGTCATATTTACTGGGTTTAGCTAATAATATTGTTCCCCATCCTAATTGACTTGCGTCTGTTTCTACAACTATGTATTCAGATTCTAAGGGAAGTTGTAGGTCTGGTAGGTTTTTACAAATGTCTTTTATTTTTCTAACTAGAGCTATATCTTGCTGATTGAAGTATTTTTGTCCAGTGGGTGTGGTTTTACTATAAAGGGGTCCTATTATTTTACTGAGGTTAGGAATATACATTCGTGCATAATTTAAAATTCCTAAAAAGGATTGCAGTTGCTTTGTATCTTCTAATTTATCTGGATAGTCTAAAATTTTCTTGACTATATGAGGTTGTAACCTAATTTTTCCATCTCCTAGCTCCATTCCTAAAAATTTTATGTAGGGTTTATTTAATACCATCTTTTTCTTACTGATTATTATTCCATTATTTATGAATTCTTCTAATGTTATATACAAATGATCTATGTGACTACTTTTATCTGGACTGAACACTAATATGTCATCTATATATACCAGTATAAAACTATATTTATTAAATATACTATCCATTTTACGCTGAAATATGGAAGGTGCATTTTTTAATCCAAAGGGCATAACTAGCCACTCATAATGTCCTTGAGGGCAACAGAAGGCTGTCCATGGTATGCTTTCCTTTTCCATTTTTATCTGCCAAAATCCTGACTTACAATCAAATTTGCTAAATACTTTTGCTGTCTGTATTCTATTTATGAGTTGGTCTTTATCTGGTATATTATATTTATCATCTTCTGTATTATCATTTAATCTTTTATAATTTATCACCATTCTAGCTTTTCATTCTAGCTTTTCCTCTTTTTATCTCTGCATGATTTCTAACCATAAATGCTGCGCTTCTGTGCGGGCTATTGCTGGGTTTAATTACTCCTAGATCTAGTAATTTCTTAATCTGTGTTCTAAATTCTTCTATGTCTGCTGGTGTATGATCTATTTGTGCTGAGGTAATCCTATAATCTTTGTTTTTTATATCTAAACTAGCTAAAATTTTATTTCTTTCCCAATATTTCATGGGCTGTTCTCCTAAAATTTCTGTTGTTTCAGCTAATCTTATTATCTCATCTAAATCATTTTCGGTTCTCCTGTATATTGGTTTTTTCTTTATTTTTCCTATTTTTGCAAAAATTAATTCTAAATTAGTTAAATTATATAAAATTATAAGTAGGATGATATGGAATAATGGGACCAATAATGGGGTGAGATTATGTTAGAGATGTTATATCAAAAGTGTTTATTTGTATACACGGCATTAATAGTATCGTAAAAACAAGCATGGTTTGCTATTTTAAATGGATTTAGGTCAAGTTTGGCATAATTAAAAAAAGATAAAAAGTCAAAAAGTCACTATTCTATTTAAGTTATATCATCTTATTTAAGTTACATCACCTCTCTAACACATCACTTCAAACCCAACTCAAATCCAACCTATATTTCATAAAAAGTCAAAAAGTACACTTATTTAGTCTTCCCAAACTAGGCCTTAATATTACTGTTGAATCTTTGCAAATGAAACGGGAAAGAGAATAGATGCTTATTGATATAAAAAATGTTTGGGAGCTCTAATTAGAGTCACTATTAATGATGTGACAGTGAGTCTTATCTCTGAATTAAAAAAAGATAGTGAGTCCTATCTACTGTCACAGTATATGTTGTGTTTGTTTTTTGTTTTTTTTTTAATTTTCACCTCACTAGTGGTGGATTTAAAACTCCTTATTTAGAGCTCTAAATCATTGCTATATTGATATAGGGCAATAGGGAAAAAACAATCAGATTGCTTGTTTTTATTTTTTAGAAAACAATTTTTAGAAAATTTTACTTTCTTATTTTTCATGTTTTTTTGTTTTTATTAAATTTTTTTAATATTTTAAGTAATTTTTTTACTTTTTAGACACACCTAACATAAATACACCTAAAAAGTAAAAAATTTGTAAAAAAAAACTTTTAAAAATTCATTAAATACCAAAAATATAAAAAAAATATAAGAATTCAGTACATTTTTTGTATTTCTATGTATTTATTAATTTTTTAAAATACTTTTTCACAAATTTTTTACTTTTTAGATATATCTAACTAAGATGCATCTAAAAAAGTAAAAAAAATATTTAAAATTAAAAAAATATTCACTAAAAACAAAAGAATACGAAAATCAAAAAACTCAATTTTAAAAAAACTCAAACCAAACACACTGAGGCTAAGTTTGGCAACTCTAAAATAATCCATCTTTTTATCTTTTTTCCATCACATCACCTCTTTACTTTTTTACACATCTTTTTGTAAAAAGATAAAAAATACACTTATTTAGATCATTTTAAATAACTCTGAATGTTTCTAATAGTAATCCCCTTGGACTATTTTTTCAATATCACTTCTCACCCGACTAACCTAATCCAGCTGCTCAATGGGATTACCAAACCGATTCAATCCGGCTGTTAAGTTCACAACTTGTTCTGGCAATACAAAAAAAAAAAGTGGTCACATCTTTTTACATTTTTTTCCCCCTCAAAATTATGGTGAATTTGTTTACTTTGTTGGTTTGTCCTGTTGTTACGAATCTAGGAAGTAAATTTTGTTTTTGAAACAACAAAATGAAAAACCAAAATAAACCAAAAAAATTAAAAAAAATTATGTTTTTTTTTTCCCTGTAATTTTTTTGAGAATTTTTTTTTAAAATACAACTTCCCGGTTTGTCTTGTCAAGCTTTATTTATAAACCAATTTTATTTTTTTTTAAGTTTGCTAAATATGAAAATAAAGGGAAAAAAAGGACAAAAAAATAAACAAACTCCAAAATAATACTAAAAATAAGCTGTGAGTAGAGTCCACATCAATTATACTAAAAAATTTGATCACTCATGCGGAGAAAATAAAGCTCATTTATGAGCTCTTAGAGAGCAATGAAAAAATGAATATTAGTTTGATAGTTGAAGCCTTCAATAACAAATTTCATATTCTAACTCCAATTTATTGTCTTGTCTAAAAAAAAAAAACACCAATTTATTGTAATTGGATTTTGTAATTTAATTTTTTAAAATAATTTAATAATTTTTATTACTTATATATATATATATATATATTTTTAAACTCAGTTTCCAAACACTACCCTTGCCAAAAATAAAATTGTCAAACGAAACTTAAAATTTGAATAATGATATTAAACTTTAAGGGTATGTTTGATTGAAAGGATTAGAGCATGGGATTGAGATTATTAATCCGTAGGCCCAATTATCCCATGTTTGTTTTGACAATTTGTTTTAGGATTATTAATCCAATGGATAATTAATCCAACAAATTTGTAGGATTATTAATAATGGGGTAGGGATGGGATTGTGAATACCACACTAATTTGATAGGATTATTTATACTTCACTATTAGTCATGTGGAATCAAACAAGGCCTAAGTTTATTTATAAGATATCTTTGCCGCTTCAAATATTAATTTTAAAAATACAAAATAAATCACAAAATGATACACATGAATGCAACGAATGACAAGACTAAACTAAATTATAATTTAAATCTATCAACAAAAAATTAAATTATCTTTATATTTAAAATAAATCTCAATTTATGAATAATTTATTATTCTTTTTTTACATTTATATAGCGTGTTCATAGCACCAGTGTCAATATTTGTTCTGCCAGGTAACATCACACGAATGCAGACACGCAGTTTCCATTTACGAAGAAAGCAAAAACACATTTTTGTTTTGCGAAAACAAAAAAAAAAAGAAAAAAAAAAGTAATTTGCAAATTGCAATAAATAAACAGTCAAAATGAAGACTAGGAAACTACCGTTTTAACCAGTTGACTCAAAACTTCTATAGCAAGCTTGCAGCATCACAAAAGCGTACAAAGCAAGTCGCGTTTAAACAGCAAAGTGACAGCTAAAGGGCATTTCCGTAACTTCACAAGTTGGACTCTTTTTCTCACTTTTTATTTATCTCCGACTCGCCTCCGCAAAAAAATCCCAATTTTTTTGCTATTAATTAGAGACTTTCTTTCCCCGCCATGTGCCTCTCTCTCATAATTTTCTCTCTCTAGGGCTTCCTCACCTTCTCTCCCAATCCACTTCCTCTCACTAAAAACCCTAATTCGCGCTACAATCTATCAGATTCTCTGCATTTGAACTCTCAATGAGCAGTAGTAGATGTGTATGTAGTGTGTATTGTTGGATCTCCGGTTGATCAGATGTCGAATTCCGGCGACGGAGCTCCCCGAGGTATCAGCCTCCCCAACACAGTCCATTCCGAAGTCGCGCCGTGCTTGCCTCTTCCGTCGCTGCCGGTGTTCTGCGGCGCTATCGATGAGGAGCTGCGGTTGTTCGATGAGCGGAGTAGTTCGAGGTCGTTGAATCGAAATGATGTGATTAACCAGGCTAGCAAGATCGCTGATCTGCTTCGAGCAACTGATGTCTCTTACTTGTGAGTTTTAGCTGCTAGTTTTGTTGTCATTTATTGTTTTTAAGCTTCAATTGTAGTTCACAGTTTCAAAATATCGATTATCGATGGAATCGGATACTAGCGTGTATTAGTGGTCTTTGCTCTTATAGTTCTAATACTTGAAAATTTTCTGGTATTATATATATAAAAATTGAAATAAACTGTGTATGCAATTTGAATTTTGAACTGCATGATTAATGGTTTGATAAATATTCAGAAGAAAACGCTGAATGCATGTTATTCGAGCAATGACAATACTTATTTCTCATTTATTCTAGCTGTTTCCACAATTTGTCAGTTGGGGAGGACTTGCTATTGCAGTTGCGCTTGTAAATGTTGTTGTTGTGAAGTATGGTCGGCTCAGCTGCCTGTTTACTGTTAAATTGCAAGTAAAAGTTATGTGTAGATGCAGAAGCGAGAATATGTTAGAATTAGCATTCGACTTTCACTTAGTTAATTGCTGGTTTTGCTTTATGTTTTTTTAGTCATGGGTATTTTGGAAATTTTCAAAATTGCTGGACATGGATTGTGGTTTTGGTTTGCAGGTTCTAATTTGGGTTAAGTGATGATTTTTGGTATTTTTTTTTTTGGGGGCAGTAAGTCTAGAATTTAGGAACTTGTAAAGGGTTATTAGTTTTATAATTTCTAGCATTGCTTTTTTATCTTTTATTATTTTTCTGTTTTCTCCTTATTCTATACACATTAAAGAACTGTACTATTCTCAAGTTACTGCTCACAAACACCATCCAAGATCAGTCTTCTTTTTTGGCCCGAAACATCATCAAAGCAAGCCAAAGCAAACCCTAGCATTTGCCTCACCCTCTGGCTTTTTCATTCACCATAAGCCCTTGAGTGCCCTATTGTCTAAGAGAAATCCAGCCTATTTTTGCTACAATTCTTGCACCCTGACACTCTAGAAATCCACCCAATTTCAACATCTTTCTTCTTGCAGTCCCCACAATATTTCTTCTACTAGATTAAACTATAAATCAGTAACTTTTGCAGACATATTTCAAATTTTCAACATAAAACCAAGGCAGCTTGATTCCATGTTTCTAAAACTTGTCATATGTCACCATCATTTACGTTGGTATAGTTTTCTTGTGTGGACTGTGCGATAAAGATAAAGGAATATGTAAAAAATGCACTTTTGGTATGTTGGGATTTTTACATTAAAAAAAAAGAATTATTTTTTTAGAAGGTTTCGATTTTTACATTATGTTGCTATAAGTGCTGTGGTCCTACGGTCTCATTGGGTGTTATTTGCAGGAATCTTCGACCTGAAGCAACTTGTCTTCCTTGTGGCTTTTTAGAGCCTTTAGATCTTTACAATGAAGTTCTTCAATTCAATTCTGAAGCATTCAAATGCATTACACCAGGTAAACAAAGTATTTAAACTGCTTATTTATGTTATTTTCTTTCTTACCATTGTTTTTTTGTTTTTTTTACAAAAATAAATGTAATTTGAATCAATTGATTCAGCTTTTCTTGTTCAATGTACCACTGGTTAATGACATTTAATAGTGTTTATATATATATTTGAAAATTTTAAAATGATAACTTACGATTCTATGTGTTTAACTTGGACCATGAAGGAGGAAATGAGAAAGTGTTCTACGGGTGTGGGTGATTGTAGTATTGGTATTAGGTTGAAGGAAAATTATGTTAGTTTGGTATATGGTTTGTAGGTTGCGATAAAGAATGTTGTGTTGTTACAGCATGTTCAGAAAGTCAGTGTAACTAAAATAAGGATATTGAATTGGTGGAGCAATATTACAAGAAAATATAGAATATGAAAAAATGCTCTCTTGAAAGTTAGAAATGATACTAGTTGAAGGTAAAATGAGGGGATGAAATGGTTAGGACATTTGTAATGTAGATAAAGTAATAAGATTGATATGAGTAACTGGGGGTGTAAATTTGTCCCATTGGGCTTGGACTTCCAAAAAATCCTGGGTTCGCCGAAATTTACAAACCTAGCCTAGCCTAGGGGCCCTAGGCGAGTTCAGCCTAGCTTGGGCTTGGACTTGCCTGAGGCTCACTCCAAAAACCTAGGAGTAACTTAGTCCAAGTTAAAGGTGCAAGCAAAAATGTGGGTTGGGGCCATGTGAAGTGATCTGATTGCCTTGAAATTAACTATGGTTATGGGGCATAGCTCCAGGTCTGGATGGTTTAACAGTGGTGGTCATTCTTGTAGGTTGGAGTTTCCTTAGAGGAGATACTTTAGCATTATTTAACATTTTCTATGAGTTTGGTTCTTTTGAGAGGGGTTTGAATCCATCATGCATTGATTTGATTCCTAAAAATGGAGATGTTGTGTAATTTGGTTCTTTTGAGAGGGGTTTGAATCCATCATGCATTGATTTGATTCCTAAAACTGGAGATGTTATGTAATTTAAAATTTTTGACGTACTAGTAATCAGTTGAACATCTTAGCATTGTTGTGGCACATCTGATTTGATTCCTAAAAATGGTGATCCTAGCATTTCTGAACATCTTCTTTGAGTACTCATTGGCTGGTAATCAGTTGCATTGTTTTTATTTTTTATACAACTTAATTTTTATAAGATAAACTAGACCCTAATAGTGACTGGTTCAGGTCAGACTGCAGTTAGACAGCCTTCAGGGTCTGGTTTTTCTAACATCATCTTTGCGTATGCTTCTATGTAACTCTTAGTGCATAGGGATTTGGGTTTTAATGCATGATGGTTTGATTTAATCACAAATTTTCCTTTTTGCTAAGTTTTTTCATCAAGATGTTCAGGCTATGAAGCACGGGTACTCCAAAAAAAGTGCCGTACGAGTACCGGGTACTTATCGGGTGCGGGTACGCGTACCGAGTACGGCAAAAGAGGGTCCGGTACGTTTGGTTCATTCGGGTACGGCGTGGTTACGCCGTTGGTATGTTTCGGATACGCCATGGCCAAATTCTTTTTTTTTGGTGCCCTTGCAGATCAATAATTATTATTATTTTTATTTTTTATTTTTTTTTGGTGCCCTTGCAGATTAGTAATTTTGATGTTTCTCTGCTGTCTTGTCTGTCTGTATGAATTGTATAAGCATATCAGCAAATGATTTTGATGTTTTTAAAAAGCAATTTGAACCAAAAAAAAAATTAATAAGGCCTATAAAGGGTAGTTTTGTGTATGACTATGCATTATACTTTTGCTTCAGATCCTCATAGAATTTCTTTATAAAATCTTTAATCATAACAAATTTTTAAAGTTTATGCACAAAACATTAAAAATTAATACTGCATTAGTTGATTAGTAGTGGTTGGGAATGATGCAATTTTATGTATTATGCAAATTGCAATTGACAACCTGCCCCAATTGAGAATTTTTTTCCCTTTATTGTTGGCAATTAACTTTAAACCTTTCCTTAGTCTTCTGTTATTTCTTTGGTCTCACTCCATAAAAATAGCAAATTGATGAGCAAAAAGAAAGATTTTAAAAATAAATTATGATCACAAATTCATAGTGCATAACATGTCAAAGTGAGAGATTTCACAAATATTATTTTTAACGCTTAATGGTTTTAAATTATAGGAAAATGAGTTGTTCTTTTTTTAGTTTTGATATTTAATTTTAATTTGTAGGTTGGATCCGTTAACCATAATTATATTAAAAAAAAAAAAATATCGGCGTATCGCAGCCGTACCCGTATTATAGTTTTTTTGAGTTTTGCCGAATCGGCGTACCCGCACTCGTACCCGTACCGTACTCGTACCCGCACCCGTGCTTCCTTGTGTTCAGGTTATGCATATTATAGATTATAGTAAGCCTCTATTGTCTCTTTCCAAATGGCGGAGTGGAGATCTTTTGAAGATAATTAATGTTGCTGCGCTTATTGTTTATTGCACTGTTTAAGTTTCTCAGGTCCTATCAAGGAACAGTTTTATAGTAGTACGGTATCTGAAAAAAAGCCTTTTGACGAGAGTCTACCTATTGCTAGTCAACCGCAAAGAGACTTTGGAGGAACTTATAATCATCAGCCTGACTACGTTCTTGCTAACGTATGTGTGTATTTTTATGAAACCAGTTGTTGATTGGATTGTTTGCATTTCCTAAATTTGTTAGTAAATTGCAGGACACATTTACATCTTCTAGAAAACCGAAAGTAAAGAAGAAAGGAAGTGATGAATATCCATCATCAACTGCTCCAGATCCCATTGAGCTTCAAGGTTAACTTAGTTCTTTCTTAGTTTTATGTTTGTTTATTTCTTGTTTGCTTTTGCATGTCGTGTTTGAATAACTTAACTTTGATGTCTCTTTGCTTAGATGCTGCCATTCGAGTCTTTTGTGAGTTCTTGGAGGATTTATGTGGCAGAGCAGAAATTCCTAGCGATGACCGGGATGATGCAGAATGGTTACAGTTGCCTGTTGCTGATCTTAGAATGCTTGTGAATGAGATTATATCAATCCGAGCAAAGAAATTCCTACATTTGGTTCCTGTAGATGTCCTTGTGAGACTGTTGAGGGTTTTAGATCATCAGATTCATCGAGCAGAAGGTTTATCAGTTAATGAAAGTGAAAATGTAAGTTTGCAACCATTGTGTTTCTGTTCTGCTTGTAGTGGGGTGCACAATTGTCCAGTTTAAATTTACAGATTTTATTTATTTATATTTAAAAATTGTTGCATTCTTTTTTTCTCCTGGTTGTGTTGGAACTTTGTGCTTGTCTACTAATAGGATTTTTGCGGGGTTGCTATTTTCTTCTATATCTCATTAATTATTGTTTTCTAAGTTCCTTGACGTTTTCATATGGTCTCACTACATGAGCTTTCCATGCATGCTGCACAGTGGTATACATCAAAATGGAAAATATTCTCCACTTACTGATGTTGTGTATTTATGAAATACTTACAACCTAATTTAAGATTTGGCGTGCTTTTTTATGCTTCACTGAGGTATAATTGGATTCGTCATGTTTTGATGAGTTCTGGTGGAAACTGTGGAGAGTCTGTTACATGGACTTGTGTACATGTGTCCGGTGTGGGTGTGTATATCGTTTCAAGTTTGCATGATCCTTGAATATTGAGACATGGAAATGCTGCCAAAATACAACTGTTGCGAATTTTACCTCATCATAAATGTTGAAAGTAAGTTTCCAGTTTGTCTTGCTGGGGAAATATGTTATAATTAGGAATGGCAACGGGGCGGGGTGGGGCCGGGGATCACACTCCCCATCCCCGATCCCCGATGGTAAAAATATCCCCGTCCCCGGCCCCGATCCCCGACGGGGAACCTGCCACCGTCCCCATCCCCGCCCCCTAACGGTGATCGGGTTTCCCCGATCCCGAAAATTCCCCGGCCCAATCTGTTTCAGCATCTTCAACAACTTTCAACATCAACAAAATCATCAATAAGTAGTGACGAAATTATCATCAACAACAACACTGTGAGCATAAAAAAAAAAAATTAAAAAAAAAGACAAATAAAGATACACAGATCTGAGTGTGCATCATCATCAATTAACACAGATCTGAGATTTGTATGTGATCAAACAGATCTGACATCGGCGATGGTGACTGTGACGAACGACGGAGGTCGGTGGCCATGGACGACGGAGGTCAGCGACGGTGATTGTGACGAACAACGGAGGAAGACGGCAGTGCGAGGCGACAGAGACGCTGGCGCTGAAGAGGGGGAGATGTGCGAGAGAGTGAGAGAGAGACTCTGAGTGAGTGAGAGGGAGAGAGAGAACAGAGACGGTGAGGAAAAGAAAAGAGAGATCAGAGGCTGTGAGAGAGAGAGAGAGAGAGGGAAGAGAGAGAGTGTGTAGATGTTAAATGAAATAGAAAAAGACAGACTCAATATATATTATATAGAATAGAAAGTACATATATTATATATTATATAGAATATAAAAACAGACTCTGTATATATTATATAGAATAGAAAGACAGACTCAGTATATATTATATATATATATATATTATGTCGGGGACAAGCGGGCCGGGGCCGGGGCGGGGATTGGGCACTTGTCACCGTCCCCGGCCCGAAATTAATCAGGGATTAATTTTTAAATACCATCCCCGTCCCGTCGGGGGTATTTTTCGGGGAAAAACCGTTCGAATCGGGATCGGGGGATCGGGTCCCCATCGGGCCGGTTTCAAATTGCCATTCCTAGTTATAATTGAGCTTGCCAATTTCCCATGGCCATACCCATGTCACGTGTCTGACATGAATAATCCACTTGTCGAAGCATGCATCTGACAGATATGAAGTTCCTCAGTTTGTTTTCAAGTTTTTAGTTAATGGATATGATTTAAATGTTTGAATTGATTTTGTTTTGAATCTGGAAGTATGATATTTTGCTTGTTAGGTAACATGGTTGTGAGGGAGTTGGGAGCAATTAAGTATGTATGCACAGTTCCCTATAACTGATATAATTTGGGGAATTTGTTTGTGCAAATATGCATCATATCTTGATTTTTTTCTCTCTTCTTGGAATTTCTTGTCATGTATCCTATTCAACTTTTGCCCAATTTTCAACATGGAGTGGTTATGATATAACTATTATGCAAGTGTAATATTCAACTGATGAAGACATGCTTAAGTTTTGGCTTTACAATTGCATTTAACATTTTAAATATTTTTTTTGACTTCAAGGTTAGGCAAAGGGCTGGAATTTTTTTTTTTTTTTTTTGAATATGATTTAACTGTATTCAATGTGTAACTTAATCCACCCCCATCCTCTCTTCATCTGAATCCAGGTTTGTCCAAAATGCTATATAAGGCTACCAAATTCGGGCAATGCCTTTTGTTGAAATTTTACTGTTTGCCTACATTTGTTTGAGCTTTCTTTTTCTTCAAAAGTTTTAGTTATAATTATAAAAAAGCTAGAACATGTAATCGTTTTTAAATAAAAAAAACTGTCATTTGTCATGGCAATTTCTGCCATGCACATTGCTTGTGGTTAAATTTGGTCAACTTGTCCCTAGTGGTCATCAAATTGTTTTTGTATCTAATATTCTGCCTTTTATGATTGCAGCTCATGACTCAGCGTTTATTTATTTGTTTTATAGAGAATTTTCTATCTTGAAAAAAAAGAAGCAATTGTAAATGGAAAGGCCACATAGGATACAAGCTGTATATTGAAGATTTGTGGAGACAAAGTAATGTGAAATGCTTGTCCATGATACAAAAGAAGCACCGATAATAATTTATGTATGCCCAGGGAAATATTTGGGCTTTATTGGATTTTTGTAGACTTGAGACTTGTGACTTGAAATGTTATTTAAAGAGAGATTATAGAAACACATCTATTGTGCTGTTTTTTTTTTTTTTTGGCTTTAATTAGACACATTGAAGGAGATTTTGTGAATCTCTTAACAGGAAAAAAAATCTAGCATTCTTTGGGATTATGCAATCTTAAAAACATTTCTAAAAGAATACATTGCGTACATGACTAACCTAAAGTGAGATAAGCAATTGATCACTTCAAAAATACGAAAAGAATATAGTAACAAAGCTTAAGGGGAAAAAATGCAGTAAGAAAGGAAGCAGTCGAACTATGCATTGTATACATGGTTTTTGTGGAGGTTCATATATGTAATTTTGGATAGAAATATTTAGATAATAAATTAGTTTGCATGTTCCTTATATAATACGGATAAAAGCTATGTGAATGTATTAATATATTCTGGCGTTATCACTGTTTCTGTATCCTACTTGCCATGTCAACTTGTTGCTATCATGTTTTGTAAGTTCTTTGTGCCCTTTATCTATGCTACATAGGTCTTATTGAATTTATTATCGTAGATCTTTGTTGAATTTATTCTGATAGATTTTTATTGCCAGCGCACCTACAAGCCTTAATAGAAATAATCTTAATATGGTACTAACTCGTAAAATATGTAATGAACTTCAACATGAGTAGATTTAGCTTCTAAACCTATGCGGCTATGGCCTTCCTTAAGTGGGTAGTAAAACCTTACTAAAATGAACAAATAATTTTTTTTTTTTTTTTTTTTTTTTGAAGAGCAACAAAACAATTTTATTGAGATAAAAAATGAAAACAAGAGGACATTAAGTACTTGTACAAAAGCAAGAAACTTAGGCCTCGTTTGGGAACAGGCTATTTTTTTTGATTTTTGGCTGAAATATGAGGTAAAAAAAACTAGTATGTTTGGGGTGATTTTTTGACTTTTTACGAAAAGATGTGCAAAAAGTAGAGAGAAAAGGGAATCTTTGACTTTTTGGTATAGGTTATAGGCTTTTTAGCTTTTTTAGTAACTTTTTGACTTTTTTGCTAAAATGTTAACTTGTCAAACGATGCCTAAAAACTGAGGAAGAGACAACTAAACATATAGTGACAAACAACCACACAATCCCTAATAATCAAGGAAAGGGGTATGTCCTTGCAGAGGGTGGGGGGGGGGGGGGGGGGGGGTGTGGGCGTTGTATGGCCTCAGATTCTTTTTCATTAAAGATCCTGCTATTCCTTTCCAACCAAATGGTCCAACAAAGAGCGAAAATAATGGAAGACCACAAAGCTTTGGCCTTGTTATTGCTTCCAAATCCTCCATAGGAAATCAGCAACAAATGCGTGCACACCCTCGGAGCAACCCACGGCTCATCACAAAGGCCAAAGAGACGCTGCAATTGTGCAATAGCCATCAAGAAATGTAGGAACAGATGATCCGCCGATTCCGCATCTCTTTTACACAAAATACACCATTGAGGACCAAGAGAATGATTGGGCCTTCTTCTTTGAAGGATATCATTGGCTGTGACACCCCCGTGAGCTAAGGACTAAGGACCATACAAAGAACTTCACTTTATAAGGGTCCACTGCTTTCCAGATTTTTTTATGAAAAGGAAATAAAGGAATAGAAGGAACAGCGATGACTCTCTCAAACATAGATTTACATGAAAAAAGCCTTGAAGAATTGATGCTCCAAACCCTCCTATCCCTATTCTGAGAGACCAAAGAAATGCAATCAAGCAATGATAACAAAGAAACCAACTAAAGAGACTCCCTAATTTACTAAACTCTGCTATCCTCCCTTTTGATGTGCATTATAAAATTGATGCCCTTGAAATCGTTCCTTGTCATCTTTTATGCTGCGTCCTTCATAGTGATATATACTAATGAATCCAAATTATGAATCTCTATTTTGTGGTTTGGCTCTTTCCTGGTGTAGTTCTACTCCCACACTACCTGTCTTGTAAAAATACTGTCATTTTGTTTTGTTTGTTTTTTGGTAACTGGCTTTTTATTTTGGTTATCAACTCATCTAAGTAGTCATAATATCATTTCTTGAAATTCAATCTCTTATGTTGATGAGAGTGTGTATTTTGGCATCCTCTTGTTTTCACATACCGTAACACCTATGACTTTTTTTATGTGCCACTGATGTTGCATCTATTAAGGTCTGAACAAAAATAATAAGCTCTGGAAGCCCAAAACAAGGGATGTTGTCCTTATTAAGATCTAGGCCTTTTTGCCAAAGGAAATAATTTATGGAAGGTGGTTTCAGTCTGGTTCCTTTAGAGAGAATGAAATCGGCAAACATTTGAGGTAGTATAGACTGCCATACATGGACTCAAGTTTGCTTTTCTTAGATCTATTCATTTTTGTTAAATGGAGGAGTTTTGTCAATCTTCGCTTTTGTTGGTGGACTTTATTGAGGACAGGGGTGACACGCCTTTCACATCCTTTTTTGGTAGTGACTTGTGAGTCAAGTTTTATTTCATATTTATGTTCAGACTTATGATTTCTTGTGAGTTTGCTGCTGGGCCTGCAGTTATGCTTGTTTTGGTTGGCTTTTATATGTTCTTGAAGGGCATTGTAGTTCTAGTAAAATTAGGAGACAAACCTGTGAATTGTAGTTCAGTGAATTAAGGAGAGAGAGTTCTAGAGTTCAATATAGAAAACTTCTAGCTCCTTTTGAAGCTTTTGTAGGGATTGGGTGATGCTTGCTTTTCATAGGAATTTCAGGTGAGATCTCTGTTTTCAGAATCTTACGATTCGGGATTCGATTAACAATTTTTGTAAAATCGATCCGAATCTATGGGTGAATCTATTTTGGAAGTGAATCTCTAGTGAATCGTACGATTCACAATCGATTCACGATTCGATTCACTTTTTACAATTCGTGCAATTTTTGAAATTATTGTGTCCGACATATTTCGTCTCTTTTTTTGTCCATCTTTTTGGTGAAAATTACATAATACAACTTCTAGTAGTGTTTAATACCAAAATAACTATCGTATATACATGATTTGTTGTTATTTTAGTAATTATGGAGTTTTTAATATGATCCAATCAGATTTAATCAGACCCAACATATTTTTAACCTTTCTTCTCATTTTTTTTCCTTTAAAAAATCATAATATATCTTCTAATGATGTTTAAAATTAAAGTTAAACTTTGAATTTTCTATTGCTGAGATCAGTTATATCTTTTAAAATATTTTAGGTTTTAAAATAAAAGATTCTAAATAATTTTTTCTTATTATTTACTCACTGTTACTTAGAAAAGTATGTATACTTATTGTCCAAATATCAATATCGTTAATTATTATTACTTTAGATATTGATAGTTTGTGTATTTTGGTTATTATTTTTTATTAAGAATGGTTGATAAGACATATCTAAAAAAGGAAAAAAGGTAAGATGGTGATCTTACATAGGAACCTTTGTTACCTTCTTACCTATTAAACTACGTGATTATCATTCAAAATAATATTTTCATAAATTAAAGTCTAAATATTTTATATTCATAAGATGTATTTAACATCTAAATGTGTGGATATATGTTTTAAGTAATTTAGAAAAAATGGCCGAATCTTTACGATTCACAATTCAATTCGATTCGCGATTCGGTACGAGGTCATTTCAATTCACGATACAAATCCCGATTTAACAAATATGGGTGAGATTTTTAGAACTATATTTTTCTTTTTTTGTTGAGTTAATTTTTTGCAATCAGAATCTTTCTTTGAACTGTTATCGGTTCATGCCCCCTGACATTTTGATAATGAATCGCTAAAGTGCTTTTGCTCCTCCTTCGGACAACTAACTGAATCTCTCCAGACCAGACTGTTTTCAATCCCATGGTAACCGGTTTTCCTTTGAAGTTCTTGCCATGAGTGATTATAGTGTAGGAAGGAATTTTTTTTCCTCAACCATTTGGTTTACAAGAAAGTTACAGGAATCTGTTTCCCCAACTCTCTGTGATGCACAATCTTGTATGTAATGTAGGACAAAGGTTTGAGGGAGAGGGACATATATCTTTCAAGGAAATGGTCTAGACACAACATGGAAATATATATATATGTGTGTGTATAGCTGTTTTCCCTGTGTGTCACTGTATTTTTTCTTGCTTCTTTTTTTTTTTTTTTTGTGTGTGTGCAGTCATTTTAATGGTTCTTATATTAATTTTAAATTACAGTCAGATTCAGATGTAGTGTCATCAGTCTGTGGTGCTCTTGAGTCCATTCATGCTGCTCTAGCCATAATGGCTTATAATGACATGCCAAAGCAACTCTATAAAGAAGAGGTAACTGGTTCTTTCCAACTTATGTGTTACATCTAGTAGCGTTGCTGCAATATTTAGTAGTGTTTTGGGAAGTTGGTAAAAAACTAACTTTTTGGTTTTTTTGGCTTTTTTAGCTTGTTGCCACCCCTTTTGGGAAGTTGGTAAAAAGCTGACTTTTTGACTTTTTGGCTTTTTGGCTTTTTTGGTGGCTTTTTACCAAGTTCCCAAATTGATTTGAAATCCCTTGGAAACTTAATTTTGTGTTTGTGCATGCTTCTTTATGGAATTATGACTTTTTGAGTGATTGTTGTATAACCATAACAGATCATTGAAAGAATTCTGGAATTCTGTAAGCATCAAATTGGGGACGTTATGTCAGCTTGTGATCCAGCATATCGTGCTTTGCACAAGCCTAGTGAAAATGGGATTCTTGAAGGTAGGTAATTAAGCTTGTGCATGAAAGCTGTGATAATGTTTAGTGACTGGCTTTGATCCCTTATCTTTTTTTATGCTTATTTTGCATTGATCTTCAGGTGAAGAAGATGAGGAGGCTGATACTGATTTTGGTTCTGCAAGCAAGAGAAGGCGTACTTTTAAGAGTGCGAAAGTGAAGAAATCATCAGTGAACAAGTGTGCTTATTACTGTTTTTCTCTCTTCTAACAGCCTGCAAATATTTTTGGAATCTAATATGAGTTTTCTTTCTAAGGTCTATATGTTTTGGCCTTGTTAGGGTCTCTGCTGCTGTGAACACCATACTCCAAAAACTGTGCACCATTCTTAGTTTTCTGAAGGATTTGTTGACAATAGAGCGCTTATCAGATAGTTGCATTATGCAATTGCTGAAGACAAGCTTCACAACATTCTTGGTGGATAATATCCAGCTCTTGCAACTGAAAGCAATTAGTCTAATTAGTGGGGTATTGAAATCCATGCTCTCTGTTTTGGGTTGGTCGCTTCTGCTTCAAATGAATTTACAACTGCTTGTTGATCTGAATTTGTTGTTGTCTTTATTACTGTTGGTGCAGATTTTTTACACATACTTGCAGCATCGGACTTATGTGATAGATGAAGTGCTTCAGTTGCTTTTAAAGTTACCATTCTCGAAGCGAATACCCAGAACTTATCATCTACCTGATGAGGAACAGAGGCAGATTCAGATGATCACTGCTTTGCTGATTCAGTTGGTTCACTCTAGTGCAAATCTTCCTGAGGTTTTAAGGCAAGCATCAAATGGAAATCCTATTTTTGAGGTCTTAATTGATGCCAGTGACCCCACCAAATGCCATGAGGCTGTCACCGAAACGTGTTGCCTTTTTTGGAGTCGTGTCCTTCAGCGATTTACAAGTACAAAAACTCAGGATGCATCTGAATTGAAATCAATGATGGAGAACCTTGTTTTGGATTTGCTTACAACATTGAATCTGCCTGAATATCCTGCTTCTGCTCCCATTCTGGAGGTATGATGCATGGTGTCTTACCTTTTCTTGACTGCATTGTATTGTTTTCATGTTAAGGGACAGTTATTTGCAGGTTCTCTGTGTCTTATTACTCCAGAATGCTGGGCTGAAATCCAAAGATATTGCTGCACGTTCCATGGCCATTGACCTCCTTGGTACGATTGCTGCAAGGTTGAAACATGATTCTGTCCTTAACAGGAGGGAAAAATTATGGATAGTGCAGGAGTTGATTAGTGGAGATAATGTTGAATGCAGTTACCCAAATGATGCATGTGCTTTGTGTAAGGATGGAAGGATTGAAAAACCCTTGTTTTTATGTCAAGGTTGTCAGAGATTATTTCATGCAGACTGCATGGGAGTTATAGAACATGAAGTTCCTAGCCGTGGTTGGTACTGTCAGTTCTGTGACTGTAGGAAACAACTTATTGTTTTACAGTCATACTGCAAATCACATTGCAAGAATGACGGCACGAAAAATAGTGGTCCATCAAAAAAATCATCTGAAATTACTGATTCAATTGAAAAAGTAGAGATTGTTCAGCAGATGCTTTTGAACTACCTCCAGGATGGTGGTTCCGCTGATGATGTCCATCTCTTCACCCGCTGGTTTGTAACTCAATGTATCCATTTTCCTTTATTAAATTGATTGAGCATTTTGTTTGGTGCTATTTCTAAAATAATTTTGTGCAGGTTTTATCTTTGCCTATGGTACAAGGATGATCCAAACTCCCAACAGAAGTTCTACCACTACCTTGCACGACTGAAGTCAAAAACCATTGTGCGCAACTCTGGGATTATTTCTTCATTATTGACAAGGGATTCGGTCAAGAAGATAGCTTTAGCATTGGGACAAAACAATTCGTTCTCCCGAGGTTTTGATAAGATTTTGCATATGCTTCTGGTAAGTTATCTATTGTTTGATGTATCATGTATGTATTATTAATTGAGGTAATGATTAATTTTTATGATGCAATCGGTTTCAGGCAAGTTTAAGGGAGAATTCTCCCGTGATTCGTGCCAAGGCATTACGAGCTGTAAGTAGAAAAGCCCTTTGTCATTATGAAGAAATGTCTTTTTAATGGAGAACTCTTCTTTTTTTGAAGACACTCATCCTCCCTCCTCTGTTTTTTTTATTGATGAAAGCAGGTTAGTATTATCGTAGAAGCTGATCCGGAGGTTTTATGTGATAAATTTGTCCAAACGGCTGTTGAAGGAAGGTTTTGCGACTCTGCTATATCTGTCAGAGAAGCTGCACTGGAACTTGTTGGTCGGCATATTGCATCTCATCCTGATGTTGGTTTGAAGGTATTGCAAATTGAACCTTCCCATCCTCAGACTTTATGAAGATGCTGTACTGACTCATGCTTTTTTTTTTTTTTTTTGCATAGTATTTTGAGAAGGTTGCTGAGAGAATAAAGGATACTGGAGTTAGTGTTCGAAAACGGGCTATCAAAATCATAAGAGAGATGTGCACATCAAATGCTAACTTCTCAGAATTTACGAGGGCTTGCATTGAGATTATTTCTCGTGTTAGTGATGATGAATCCAGTATTCAGGTAGTTCTGAAGCAATGCAATGAATTTGATGTTTCTAATAATCACCCTGAATTTTGTCACTCTTCTATGATTAGACAATTTCATTTGTCTGCAATGATTTTTTTTCAGTGCTTGGTAAGCAATATTTGGCCTTTTTTTTCCCCTTTTCATCTTTGATATCCATTATTTGTTCATTGTTGGATGAATAATAATTGAAAACATATGGAGAAGGCAACCAGAAAGATAGGTGAAATAAATTGATGTTTTTTGATATGTTGTTTCTATTTTTTTTTTTTTTGGCTTTTTTTTTTTAATTTTATTTTTAAAACACAGATTGTGTTTAAGTTCGTTAATGATTCAATGCAAATTCCAAGACGACACATGGGCTATAAAATTAGTAGGATAACAGTTTCTGTGAGTCCATACTTGTATACGGAATGCTGTATTCCCCAGATTGGTGGCTGAATTGATGCATAGTTGGAGAGGGGCCACAATTTGCGGAAGGAAGGAGAAGAGTTAAGATGCTATCACCCTTTGTTTTATGTGGTGCATTTTGGGCAAGGCACTGGAGGTCCTTTCAAGGAGTAAAGGAATTAATTCATGGAATGGGAAATACCTTTGTGGGAGTTTTGTTAGGCTGGACGACCAAGGCTGTGAACCCCTTTCTTGGGTTGTTTTTGACCTTTGTGGACACCTAATTCTTGTGTGTAGTTTGTCTGCGCCTTGGTAGCAGGAAATTGCTACTGGGGTGACGTTTCTTACTCACAAATTCGATTTTGCACTTTCAAGTAAGAAACTTGCTCCCGTCAAAGAAGAAATTTGCTCCCAACTAGATAAAAACTCTCAAACATACTGGCCTTGTTTGGTTTGTATTTGAGAAACATGTTTTGAGATAAAAAGTACGAAAATTTGTTTGGTTTGGTTTTTTTTCAAAAGATGTTTTGAAAAATTATTTTGTGAGAGAATTTTGGAAAAAGTGATTGATTTGATGTGTATGAGAGAGAGATTTGTTTGGAAAATGTGTAAACCAAACAAGTTTTGAAAATTTTTTTTGAGAAAATTTGTTTGGTTTAATTACTTTTGAAAACTTATTTGTAGAGAATTTTTCCCAAAATTTTTTGAGAAATACAAACCAAACAAGGCCACTAATTTTAAAGAAACAGGAAAGAGAAAATAAGCCAACTCAAATTTCTGTTACTTCGTATTTACATAATATTTATTTATACTGGACAAAGACAATTTGCAGTTGACAATGACACTGATTTCTAAGAATTATTCATATTTTTACACATATTACAACTAAGCAGAAAAAATATTTGTCAGAATATATTTATATATTTAAAAAAAACAAGGCCCAATTAATATTCATTAATGTGTGTTTGGGAGGGAAAAGATTGAGTACACACCTAACTTTTGGCATAATGCACAAAGTGGTGGCCCTAAGACTTGAACGCATAACCTCAAGGTTATTAGGCTAAGTCTTAACCATTGAGTCAATGGTCACCCCTAATATATTTATATATTTAATATAAAAAATATATACACACCCGTAGGTGCTCCCAATCTTAGAAACTTCTATATATACATGCTCCCATAGGGGCTCCTGACCTTTGAAACTTTTATATGCCCTCGCTCTCATGTTCTTTCTCTGGCCCCCACTTCGTGTAGCTAAGGTCTGTGCTTTATATTCAAGGGTATGATGGTTTTGCACCCCTAGGCATCGTTAATACAAACTTATATAAATAAATGCCTGCATAAAATTTGTTTATCTGGTTTCCAACTCGCTCTTTTCTCTTTTGCTTTCAGGATCTTGTCTGCAAGACATTTTATGAATTCTGGTTTGAGGAACCTTCTGGTTCGCAAACTCGTCTCTTTGGAGGTAGTAGTTCTGTTCCATTGGAATTGGCTAAGAAAACTGAGCAGATTGTTGAGATGTTGAGGAGGATGCCAAATCATCAACTTCTTGTTAGTGTCATTAAGCGTAACTTAGCCCTTGATTTTTTACCACAATCAGCTAAAGCTGTTGGTATAAATCCTGTCTCTCTTGCATCTGTACGCAAGCGTTGTGAATTAATGTGCAAATTCTTGCTGGAAAGGATATTGCAGGTATTCTTGATTGTTAATGTTCCAAATAATTTTGGTGCTCTTTTTTTCTTGTAAACAGGTTACATTGAGAAACTTGTAATTGTTCAGGTAGAGGAAATGAATAATGACGAAGAAGAGGTGCGCACACTTCCGTATGTGCTTCTCTTGCATGCTTTTTGTGTTGTGGATCCTACACTCTGTGCTCCAGCTTCTGATCCTTCCCAATTTGTGGTTACTTTACAGCCATATTTAAGGAGTCAGGTTATCTACAGTTTCACATTTCATTATAGAACACTCATTATGTCTTTGATGGAATTTCCGTCTCTTGCCTACTTATTCTCTTTTTTTCTTCTCCTTAAAAAAATTGTGTTTTAAAAGTAATTTATGATATAAATTAGGCCGCATCTTTACCATGGTATATATACGTGCTATTTCCATTTTTACCTTTTTTATTTATTATTATTTATAATAAATATTATCTATTACTTGGTCATATGTCAAGGAATTGCATTTCAAGAAATTTTGTTTCACTGAAACAAAATTGTATTTATTCTGTATGTTCTGTTTTTGTTTTTTGTTGGTTCTTTTTTCTTTTTCTTTTTTTTCATTTTTTATTTCCTTCTTTGTTTTATTTTTTCTTTCTTTCATGATTCATCTTTTGTCCCCATTTGTTCTTTTTGGCAGGGTTTTCATGTTAGGCTGTCTGCCTAACATGCTAAAATCTAGAACTCGAGTCCACTATTCAGTGTGATATTTGAGTTTGAGCTGTTACTGGAAACTAGTGTCTTCCACTGGGAGGCATTGATTTTGTATTGAAACAACCACCCTGTGAACACCATACTCCAAAAACTGTGCACCAAAAAAAAAAAAAAAAAAATGCTATGGGTGGGGTAACTCCATATGATTTATGATTTCCCTCATCTTGTACTTTGTGATAAAAATGTAACAACTTTCGTTGTGGTGGGTATTGTATTCATTATTGTGATTAATTTGGTTAATATATATGTGCATATGCATTAATGTATGTGTATACGTTTTTTCTATATGTAACTTGGGGAGATGTTTTTATATGTGTTTACTCTTCAGTTATTTGTATTAGAGTGTGGAGAGAGTTTTGATCATGCATATTAACTCAGTTTTACTTGTGTTCAGGCTGATAATCGAGTTATAGCACAGTTACTAGAGAGTATAATCTTTGTAATTGATTCTGTTCTGCCCTTGCTTCGAAAGCTTCCTCAAAATGTTGTGGAAGAACTTGAACAAGACCTAAAGCAGATGATTGTTCGGCATTCTTTCTTGACAGTTGTCCATGCCTGCATCAAGTAATTTACATTTCACATGTTATTTCATTTTGACACATTATTGACTTGTTTACTAGATCTTGGAAGTGTTTTTTATTCGAGGTTCTCAGTCACCTAATTGAGTAATTAACTTGACAAATTAGCCCATAATTTATATTAGCAGTTGGATTAATTAATTATATGCAACAGGAATGCTTTTCTGATATCCGCTTTAAATTATACAACATATGCAGCATGACAGCGACATATATGTGTTATATTATTTAATTTTTTTATAATTAATAGTTTGCATGGTGATAGTATACGAAATTTTTTGATTTACATAGTAACACATGTTCGTGATTGTGTTGAGGGTGCAAATTGATAGCTACTTGTACAACTAGATTGTTGTGCTGTTATGTTCTTACATTATGAAACTGCCATTGAGGATGATGCCAAGTAAAGGGCTTCGGTATGCATCTTTGGCTGTTGTGAGCGAGTAGTAGACATTCATATACTTCATGATTTTCTGCACCTTTGTTTTTTGGAAACAAGGAATTATATTAGAAGGAGATGGCTTCTTTTTTTTTTTTTTTTTCAGGAAACAATAAGTTAAATTTGAAGGAGAAGGTACAAAAGAAGGATTAATCTCCAAGAAAGATGAAGAAAGATGGTAAAAATAATACGATAACAACATGAGAGTGCAATGCTCTACAAAGATAAAAATAAAAAAGACAAGAATTGTAGGAAGTACAAAGATCCCACCCTGTAAGAAGTCTGCTTGAAACCATGTTACACTGACAAGAAGTGACCCTTGAAAGACTTAAATTGGCATGGGATGTTGTAGTAAAAAAATAGCTGGGTATATAGCCATTGACATAGCAGAATGACAAAAAAGGATTCATATAGCTGACTCCAATTGATTGGGATGCAAGGTTTGGTTTGGTAAATATCATTATTCTGAGAGAATCCTGATAAACAAGGTAATGATGATGGGTTTATAAGCCATATATGGAGTTAGGATCCAGATAAGTGCATCTTTTCCCTGCCATTTCTCATAAATGAGATATTGTTTTCTTGGTTGAGTCAGGTTTAATGAATTGATGCATAATTTTAAACGTGTGCTCCATAAAATTAATGTTCTGCACTTTATTATATTTATGAGTTGATTCTCTTCTCTGTTCAGGTGCCTGTGCTCTGTGAGTAAAGTGGCAGGGAAAGGTTCAGCTGTAGTAGAGTATCTTGTTCAGGTGTTTTTCAAGCGTTTGGATGCCTTAGGATTTGATAACAAGCAGGTTGGTGGATATTTTGAAATAACTACATCATTTGTATTGTTTTTTTTTTCCCCCAGCAAAAAATCCATTTGCCCTCCTGTGGTTTTCCTTTCCCCCAAAAAGGAAGAAAGATATAAGCCAGCCATCAAACCATAGATTGGTTGGAATCATCAACAATTCTCTCTTCACAACGAATGATGAAGGTTCAGAAGGGTTTAACAATTGAAACAATTTCCTCTTTAGAACACAAAAGTATTTGTTAAAAAATCACTGCAATAATTGTAACAGCTTATTATCGGCTTTTCGTTTCTCCAAAGAGATCTTTGTAAATTGTTTCTTACAAAAGTTGAAAATAATGTTTTCTACAAAGTTTTAAAAAACTCTACTGAGGCTCGCCGCGAGGCGAGGCTGAGGCAAAACGCCTCAAAACTTTGATTTTTAGGCTTTACTCCCAAAGGCTTGCGCACACGGTCTTGAGACATGTGCCTTAGGTGCGTCTTGTACGGCTTTTATGCATAAGCATGTGAGGAGTACGCATATGAAGAGTTTACCTTAGGCTCTTGTTAAACTTAGTCTAGTAGATGGTTTAGACATAAAAAAGTAAAATATAAAAAATTACTCATTTTGCAACTATATTCTATAGGAAAAATTAAGTAAATGACCAATCAAGAAAAAAAACGCAAAGTTAATGCTCAGTTAGGAAGTCAATCACTAAAGCTAAAAATATCAATTTCATTTTCAATAAAGCAAAGCTTCCTTCTGAAGAAAAGTATTTACACCTTTATATTTAAGTTTGATGTATTTATTTATTGTTTTAAAATATTTAAAATATTTACTATATATAAAATTTTGAAATTTGAAATGCTTATGCCTTAACACCTTAAGGCTTATCCCTCGCCTCATGAGGGGAAAAATGTCTTACGTTACACATTCGCCTTTAAAAACTTTGGTTTTCTGCATTATTTTGAATTTACATGCTTTTTTTGTTGGAATTGTTCTATATATATCACAATGTTTGCTTCATGTTCCCAAGCACTGAATCTTCTAGGGACAATTGCTCCCACCCTCTCCTAAGAGATGTCTTTGAAATGTGTATACTTGTGATGTGGTCTGACCTTGTCACTCAATGGGTTGTAGGTCATAGAGGTAGTTGAACATTATTAGTTGTGGTTGTCCTTATCTTCTATATTTTCACCTTATAGTGCCTATGCTTGTTATCCTAGTTTTTTTGTTTTGGAAAGCCTTCTGTTTCCAATTTAAGATACTGTTGTAACTATTGAAAACTTTAATTTGCCAATTATTCTCATATGAAAAGTATATCGTAACCCATTGGGCCACCCTTCTCTGTTTGTTGACATTCGAGTTGAGTTGGACATGCTTGCTAGACAGTTTGATTATTATAAAGTTTATTGGAAAATGGACCATAGCTTTTTATAGCTTTATTTTTCAGAATCATTCTGCATCATGGCTGATGGTCTGCTTTGGACTACCCTTTTGATGTACCATTTCCTATGCAGAGAAAATTGTGTATGCAGTTTAAAATTATACCTTTGGGTATTTTTTTTTTTGCTGATAAATTATTCCGTTGGTTGATTTAATTTTTAATGCTTTTTGTGATGATTATCTGAGAAATTATTTATTTACTTGACAAACTTAGAAATCGTTGAATTTCTGTAAATTCCAGCTAGTTGGGCGATCTCTTTTCTGCCTTGGGTTGCTTATTCGTTATGGAAACTCTTTGCTGAGTACATCCTGCTCCAGTAACAAAAATATAGATGTCAAGAACAGCCTCAACTTGTTTAAAAAGTATCTTCATGCAGAAGATTTTGTTCTAAAGGTCAGATCGTTGCAGGTATGCCCCTTCAGCATTTGCCCATTAATGTGCATGTGCACCCCCACCACGGAAGGGAGGGAGAGATTTTAGCTCGTCTTATTTAACTTGTAAGTTTTGAATTCTGTAGGCATTAGGTTATGTTTTGATTGCTAGGCCTGAATATATGTTGGAAAAGGATGTTGGGAAAATTTTGGAGGCAACACTCTCTTCTAGTACTGACGTGCGACTTAAGGTAATAATTTCTCTTTCTGTTTTCTTTCTTCACTTTCTGTCCATATACTGAATTAATTTGTTATACAGATGCAAGCGTTGCAAAATATCTACGAGTATCTTCTTGATGCAGAAAGTCAAATGGCAACTGATAATACCATTGATAATGCGGTTAATTATTCCGTAGATGGTGGCCACAGTGTTCCTGTTGCTGCAGGTGCCGGTGATACTAATATCTGTGGGGGAATAGTTCAATTGTATTGGGATAACATCTTAGGAAGATGTTTAGATGTGAATGAACAAGTTCGCCAATCTGCTGTGAAGGTAAAATCTTGTCCGTGTTCTTATCCTTGGTTGTTTGTCTTTTTTGATTCAAATAAGTGAACTGGTATGCCCAACCAAGCCAATCAGTAAACAGAAGTATTAATTATTTACTGAAACATGAGAAGGAAGTCTCACACTAATGTTTTTAAAAAAATTTTTTGTGGATTTATTGGTCATTTGGTTAGTTTGAAAACATGAAAGCAAGGACGTCAAAAGTCTGAAAGCTAGAGGCATTGATTTTTCCATCATTTTTATTATGCATTCTGGCCTGGAATTCATAAATGGCTGAGTTTCTCATGTTGTGAAATGCATGATCTTACTGTTATCAGTATCTACTGTAATCTTTACTTCTTTTTTTATTTTTATAAATGTTAATCAATGCAGATTGTGGAAGTTGTGCTACGTCAAGGTCTAGTTCATCCTATTACTTGTGTCCCATACCTTATTGCTCTTGAAACAGATCCTGAGGAGGCAAACTCAAAGCTGGCTCATCATCTTCTGATGAATATGAATGAAAAGTATTTCCCTCTATATGCTTCAAAATTTTGGGTATCTTGTTAATCTGATTATTCTAACTATTAAAGCATCTTTCCAGGTATCCAGCATTTTTTGAAAGCCGTTTGGGAGATGGCCTTCAAATGTCCTTTATTTTCATTAGGTCCATGGGTGGAAGTTCTGAAAATTCAAACCCAAAAGTCCAACTCAAGGTACCTGATAGTATGAAAGGGAAATTCGATAATGGCTCTTTCAACTATGCAAGGCTTGGTGTTTCTCGAATCTACAAGCTGATCCGCGGGAATCGTGTTTCAAGGAACAAATTTATGTCGTCGGTAGTGCGCAAATTCGATACTCCAAGCTGGAATCCTTCAGTCATCCCTTTTCTGATGTGAGTTATTTCTTTGGTGCCCATCCTAGAGTAGTGTGGTTCTACTACATATATTGACTTCAATTTGCTTTTCCCAGGTACTGTACTGAAATCCTTGCTTTACTCCCTTTCACATTGCCTGATGAGCCGCTTTACTTGATTTATGCCATAAATCGAGTTATACAAGTTAGAGCTGGTACACTTGAAGCAAATATGAAAGCCTTTCTGCATTCATTACAAGAAGATGCAAAGATAATTCATGGGAATGGGATAACTCCGCAGTGGCCATCTTCGCAACCTGTTTCCAGTCATACTATATCAATGGATCTTAATGGGACAGTTAAGGACGAGTCAGCTGATGAGCCTGTTTCTAATCATTCAGCGTCTGTGGATTCAAATTTGCATTCTAGGAGTCCATGCAATTCACGTGGCATATCTGAAGATGATTTGCAGAAAATACAGGTAATCTTAAAGGTCCTGCTTTTTATGTCTTCTATGGATTCAAATTTGCATTCTCAGACTTAATGCAATTCACTTGGCATTCAAATTTGTGGTGTTTATACAGGCTGACTGTCTCTCGGCTATTGCGCTACAGCTACTTCTGAAACTAAAGAGGCATCTAAAAATTGTGTATGGTCTAAATGATACACGATGTCAGGTAAATCTTCTTTGGAGTGGTTTCTGTTGTCTTGTATCTTAGATTTGTTGCTTTAGAGTGGCATATACGATCCTAATTTTTGTGTAATATCTTACTGTCTTTAAACAGGAGTTCTCTCCAAATGAACCCCTAAAACCGGGAGAGGCTCTCTCAAAGCAGAACATTCCCTTCAACACCAATGAAACACGCATTGATCTGCCTATTAATCATGAAGAAGTGTTGCAAAGATATCAGGTAGTTGTGTGAGCACTGACATTTCGAGTCACTGCAAAGTTTTCATGCATAATGAAGAACATCTACCTTTTTACTTATCTAGTTCTCTTTGGGCATCTTTGTTAGAAAGTATGATCAGTGTCTTTCCATGTGCTTGGTTACAAATACTTTTTTTTTCCCCTTCTCTTAATAGCATAGATATAAATTGTTATGAACATGCATAGTAGCTTTATTGCATTTATAGATTTTCTACCTTGTCTGTTGCAACAGTTGAATAGTATACAGTGACAAGCTTCGTTGTACTTCACTTGATTGACATTTGACATACTTGGTTTGACGCTAGCAGTGATCCTATTAGAAATTGCTAGGATTCATTCTAATGACTTAACAAGTTTTATCTTTTCTTTTAATGGAGGAATTTTGATAGATGCGCCTTGATAAAAAATCCAAAATCATAATATTAAAAAAAATGAGGCATTGTGTAAAAATCGATTGGCCTGTTTTGAGATGGAACTCTTGTTGTCTTTACCATCCGAACTGTTTTTTTTCACTGCAGGAATTCAAGACTGCTTTGAAGGAAGACACTGTTGACTATTCAACATACACAGCGAACATCAAAAGGAGACGGCCTCCTTCGAGGAGAGGGGGGAGGTCTGGGCGTGGTGCAGGCAGGGATGATGAAGATTATGATGACGATGAAGATTGGGGAGGAAGTGGAAGTGGGGCCCGGAGGCTAAATAACAGTGGGAGGAAAAGCATCAGTAGTAGAGGTAGGCAGTGGTCGTAGTTTGTAAATACATTTACAGGTAAATCTAACATCATGTATATTATGTAGGAAGGGGGGGGAAGAAAGGGAAAAAAAGGAGGTTAGAATTGAGAACAGAAAAAGTAATAGAATATTGATGCAAAACCAGTACTGCCATATATTTCAGAAGGTTGTGGCAGAGGAGCGATTTTTGTAATTGATTCCCTCATGTAAATTCTTTGTTTTTTTTTTTTTTTTTTTTTTTCTCTTTCTGGAAATCATGTAACTTGGTTGGGTCAATGGTATTGATTATCCCATTTTTTTGTTCATTGTTTAATGTGTATGTGCCATGTTGAGACAGAACTCTATGTGGTTAGACATCTTAAATGTGATAAGCACATGAGAGTATGCATACAATTTGATAAACCAGCATGTTACATAGGTAAGATGTGCAGATATGGATGGAGCCTAAATGTGGGCTTCCTAACGTTTTTTGCAAATGTGACATTACTTTCATGCAATGATAATTCTTTGGTGAGTTCTAATATGGTTCATATGGACTATTTAAATGTGGGCTTCCTAACGTTTTTTGCAAATGTGACATTACTTTCATGCAATGATAATTCTTTGGTGAGTTCTAATATGGTTCATATGGACTATTGAAATTCTCGTCATATGATTAGGAGATTTGTGTATCTTTTAATAGTGAACCTGGTGAGTATAGAGTGAGGGATTTTACCATAACTCAACTCTCCGGCAAATGTAATCCACAACCATTATGATGGTAACTGCATTCTCTCTCAAATCAACTTGCGTAAAAAGATAGTAGGTACAATTTAGAAGGCTATGGAGATATAATAATTAATTTTTTATATAGAATTTCCAATAGAATTCATATATCTAGCCTACCAATAAGGGTGTGGAGAAGAACTACTGAGCTACAATTGCAATGAGTGACAGTTGTACAGATAAGCTATAGAAGCAGTGCTGTAGAGAGTTATACAACCTCTCGTTTGTGAGGCCCACCACTGGCTAGAAGCCCATTGGCGGTGTAGAGATTAAGAGTGGTGGAGAGATGAAAAAGCTTCAGAGTCCTGACCTCATGTCTATCATTCATTCTGGCTCAAAATCTACACAAGTATGATCAATTTACAACACAAAACTCAAAACTCAATTTCATGGCACCCAGAGTTACTAATAGGGACATGAGCACACAAACAGTTGAATAGGCTGTATCATGACCTATCACTCACCCATATGACAATTGTACGTAATAATACAACCAAAAGCTTTAATGCCATGAAAAAAAATTGTTCAAAAGCCTGACGGGCTACACTGATCTTTCTCATACATCACTGAAAACAGCTTAATTATTTTTTACTAATGGAGCAATGTTACAGAGAAAAAATCTGGGAACAAAAAATAAATAAAGAGGCCACCCTCCAAGGGACTCACCAAGGAATTTGGTTTGCATTATGAAACAGCAAAATGTTTTGGAGACCACATGAAACAGGTAATGAGGTGAGGAGTAATAATGAAGAAAACTAAACACGAAAGAACCTAGTAACGGAGCCAGTAGGTCCTACGCCTGAACCAGTTGTAGTCAGGTAAACCCTGGATGGGTCCCATGGCAGCAATGGCAACATCCTGCGAAAAGATCAATCACGACTTAGAACAAATATTGAATGTACCGAGAGAAAAAATAATTTTTTAACATTCTTCCCTCATAGCAGGTAAATTTGCAATTAGCAATGGGGATGCATTAATCCTTACCTGATCAAATATAAAACGGTTTGCAACACGTTTGACAGTGCTAGCATCTACAGCATCAATTCTGGCAAACAATTCAGCGAATGGGATTCTTCTCCCATACGTAAGTAGCTGGAAGAACAGAATGGATTACACCAAACAATCAGGCTCTTTACCGGGAAGGAAATTTTTTGAAAACAAGAGCTTCTGTCTTTGATAAAAAGAGTCCATGTTTTAGACACTAAACTAAACCGTCTTTATCTCACACTACTCACTTAGCACTCTTAAGTAGACAATCCAAGAGATCAAAAGTAATACAAGGGAATCCTTTCATTTTCTGCAAGTAATATACAAAGCATTCTTTCATTTTATTTTATCCACCCTTTTTTTTACCATCCGCAAATGAAAAATGCATCAAATACTTTACCTGGCGCCCAATATCTTCAGCAACAGGACTGGTTCCATCTATGTGAAGCAGCAAAGAAGATTTCAACTGCAGTGTAATAGAATTGTAAGTGAATGCCAATATACTGAGCACCACAAGATAAAAAATAAGTGACCAAGCTAAAATCGATTTCCCTTTCATAACGCTAAGCATGTTGCACGGATACAAGTTAATCTACCAGACCTCCTTTGTCCATATATTAGTTTTAATGTGTGTAATAAAAAATGTGGATAACACATTTTATTCAACAAATGATGTAGCTCTGACTCACTTTGGCACAACAAATACTTATCTAAGATAAGTTAGAACTACGGGCAAAATATGGGATACTTGGTAAAGGGTTATTTGCTTGGTGAACCAAAAACAGTTTTAAACATCCCCAACTTTAGAAATACTTCTTACTCATTAATAAAGACTTATGGCTTTCATTATCTCCAGAACTCAACTATAAAGAAATAAAGACCTAAGACTTGAGCATATAGGCAAGGCATATTGATCCACAAATTAGGGTGGTAGCAATATATGTCGTATTGTTTTTGAATTACAAAACAATATACACACATATATATATATATATATAGATATACGCAATATAGTTTTATTAAAAGCACTTAAAAACTGAGGACAAGCAAGCAGATAATATCAAGGTTCAGCACAAGAACCGGTAACTACCTGGTTACAAGCACGGGTAACATCAGCTTCAGAAACTCGATAACATAACTTGCTCATCTCGTACATAATTGCATAAGCTAGATCATCCAAGCAATCCGGCTAAAAACAAAATGTAAAAATGAAAATGAATAACTAGAATTATTGAGGCATAACATACAACATCAATTGTGAATTAAAATCAATCAAACTAAAGCTAGGCATGACATATGTGAAAACTGATGGGCAATATTGATATCTGTTTTATCATGTTTGTGATGCTATAAAATTATGATTGATGGGCATCTTAGTCTGAGCAAAATCCTGATACTTAATTTTTTTGCTCCAGATTACCATGATCAAGAGTTCTAAGGTATTGGCTATTAAACCGTAACAGTTTGATCCCAAGACATTAGTGGAAAGGAAATCATTCTAAAAGTTAACTTGGTATCATATTAAATTATGGAGAGAAAGGATTGCAAATTTTCAAAATTTCCACTGTAACTTTTTGCACTTGCACCCTTTTATTCTTCTCACTTGACTTACAGCAGTTTTCCCCGCTCTCCATGTGTGCGTGTGCGCGCGCGCACCAGTGTGTCCCCCCTCTTGATTTTGAGAAGCTTTTAGAGGCCATAACCACTATCCTAGTGTTAGTCCCTGCCAATAAAGGGTACCGGAAGGGGTGAACCTCATCCCCTGGCACAGTACTCCCTTTTTCCCTTTCTGACATACCTAAATCACCCACAAGAGAACCAGCTGGGCTATTTTGTTTTACTTTTGACTATATTTCAGGTCTGAACTCACTCAGAATGCAAGCAACCAGTGTCCTCCACCACAACATCCAATAATATGTTTCACTTATTAGGCCTGTTTTGTGGTGTATAGGCCTCCAATCAGTTAAGAGCTCTATAGAAGATGTTGTAAAAAGGGTTTGAAGTGTTTATTTGCCGCACTTCAAAAACACTTGCATATCCTCTTGTATGTTTTATTTCACTAAAAAAGTGCCTTTAGGGGAGCCTCTACACATCGAAGTACTTTAAAGTTGCAGCCAAACAAAACCTAAAGCATTATTTCAAGGGAAAGAAAAGTAATTCCAAGCTAAACACACAGTAGTGCCAAATGGGGACTTAGTCCATCAGAAAAGTGAGTGAGGAAAGAAATGGAATGAGAGGGAACAAGAGATACAACCCAATCATTTTAGGGAGTGACTTATAGATGTTCTCAATTTGCTAACAAAATATGGATTCATGGCAAAAAGATATCAAAAATTTGAAAGAACCTGATATGAAGAGGGAAAGGAGGCCCTCAAACTAACAAAATTATAATTATAGGACATAATCTCACCTTGGCGATGGCATAAACACCAAATAGACCAGTGTCCTTATAGTTGGTGTTAAAGGCCATCATGTTTTCAGCAATCTCATTAATGCCAACCCTCTGTGCAAGCTCAGAACTGATTACAAATTGTCAAAAACTAATTACTGCATGTGCTCACAGGTTATATCACAGGAAAATATCCAACTTAGTTATTAAAACCCCACAAATGATGTTCAACAGCTCACCCCATGTGCTTCCCACCACCTGCATTCTTATTCCAAGATCCCAACATAGACTGCATGACCATCAAAGCAATGGAATCTGGATCCGTCCAAGAAGCCCCATTGAAAGCAACAGCAAATTGTGCCAAAGGAATGTCATCATCAATTATCCTAACCTGATTTTCACATAACGAATGCCAATTAATAAATTTTGTAGAAAGACAAGATGGGAGAGAATGTTTAAACTAAACAAATCGTGAAATATTTATATGAATAAGCACACCTCGGAACCTGTAAAAATTGCTGGTTCTTTAGAAACTAATTCAGAAGCTGTAGTTGGATCTGTTGACAACTTGGTAAACAATTTCTTTACTTGCTCAACAATGTCCTCATGTTTCACGGCTCCAGAAGCAGCAATTACCTAAAATAGAAGACCAATGCTTAAGATTTCAATAAGTAAGTCAATAGAGTAAAATAATTGATGATAAATGACAGCAAAGCCAGCATGTAAACCAACCAACCAAATAGACTTAACAATCAATATGAATATCACCTACCATTCTAGGCGCAGTGTAGTGTGTTGATATATACTTTTGAAGATTATATTTGGTGATCGTCTTGATATTTTGAGCAGGTCCAAGAATGGTTCTGCCCAAAGGAGTGTACTGGAAAGCTGTTGCATGCAGATGGTCGAAAATTACTTCCTCAGTTTGCCCTTCGACCTATAATAAAGAATATACAAGCATCACAATAAAAAATCAAATAACTAACGACAATGCAATTAGAATTTTGTAAAAACAAAATATAGAGATGATTTAATTGATGAAATCTCGAGACAACAAATGAATACGCAAAGGCATTCATCATTCAGAGAACTGACTCGATCAGCATCTATTGGTACATCAATGCAAAGGGTGGAAGTAAGTAAAGCACAAGGAGGTCAGCCACACTAACTAAGGCATTACTTTCAACTGCTCAAGCAACTAATAGCAATTAATAGAACTCATTGTATTCTTTTTTCTTAAAATCAAAACATTTTGATCATCCAACAACTCCTTAGTGTTCGCGTCCCCTTCTCATTATTAAAACAATAACTACCTTAACAAACTATTCTTGGCTCTTATTCCCCATGTAATGTAGGCTTTACTGTTTACCCTGTGAATCATGATGCGCCTTTCCCTATTGACTATATTCTTTACTAGGATTAACACCAATTCTAATAATACTCATACGCAATTTACGCCACCAAAGATTCATATGGTCTATAGTGCAACGGCTTTTTACATCAAACAATTGGAATATAGAATCATTCCTGGAAAACAAATCAAATTATGAGGAAAATTGAAGCAAAACACAAACTTTATCAAAGAATGAATGTTACTACCTCCTCCATCTCCCTCAAAATGACATCACGCTCACGATTAATGCGATTCTCATCAAACTTAGAATTCTGCAGAATATCGGCCAATATGTCCAACGCTTTAGGCACATCATTATCCATAACCTTAGCATAATAAGTAGTCTGTTCCCTGGAAGTATAGGCATTAAGATGTCCCCCCATATTCTCAATCTCCTCCTCCAATTCCCTGGCAGTCCTCTTCTCAGTGCCCTTGAATATCATATGCTCCAGAAAATGAGCAGTGCCGTTGGTCTGATCAGTCTCGAACCTGCTTCCGGCGTCGATCCAGACTCCAACGGTGGCGGTCTTGGCGGAGAAGTTGGACTCGGTGGCAACTCGGAGGCCGTTGGGGAGAGTGGTGACTCGGGTGAGAGGGGATGCGAGGATTGAGGTGTGGTCGGTTAGGGTTGGGTGAGGAGAGTTGTGTTGGAGGAAGCGAGGGTCGGGGTTTTCAAGCTGCTTGAGCTTGTGCTTGACGGACTCGGCGAGGCGGTCGTAGATCATGGCGGTGGGGGGAGGAGGAGAGGGCGGAGGAGGAGAGGTGGTGGTGGCGACGGCAGGGGAGGAGAAGGATCGGAGGAGGGAGGATTGGGGGCGGCTGTGGGAGCGGCGAGCAAGGGCTAGGAGGTGCCGGATCGCCATGGCTATTCTCTCTGTGTCTAGGGTTTGGTTTGGTTTGGTAGAGAGAAGTGTGAGAGGAATTGGAGTTAGGCTCGAGTGGATCGAAGAGAGAAGCAGGCTGCTTTCGCTCTGATTTTTCGGACCTGGGAGTGTGTGGACCGGACGGCGTCGTATAATGTTTAAGGCACGACGTCGTATTTTAGCTACTACGAGTTTCATATTTGGTGTTTTTTTTTTTAATTTTTAAATTAATTTTAGATTTGAGTTTCATATTTGTGCGCGCGTGTGTGTTTTTTTTTTACGTAAAAAAGAAAAGAAAAGAAGACGTTACTAGTTTCATATTTGGCGTTTTTTTTTTTAATTTTTAAATTAATTTTAGATTTGAGTTTCATATTTGTGCGCGCGTGTGTGTTTTTTTTTTACGTAAAAAAGAAAAGAAAAGAAGACGTTCCGTGAAAGTATCACAGCGTTTATGGATCATGATCTTGAAATAATCGGTTGTCGGTCAGATTTAATTTAATTCAAGGGAATTGGCCTGCCACTACAGTCAGATTTAACCTAACCCCAAAGAAGAGATCTACTATTAGGGGAAGAGAGAAATGTATCAACCTTTAGCACAGGAGGCAAAGTCATGATCGGAGTATAGTGGTGTTGTTTGGTGTAGCTTGTTGTAAGCTAAAAGTTGAAAATTGTAAAGTAGAAACCAAAAGTACCCCTTCCTCAACTTTTAAATAATCAGTTTTCTCAGTTTATTTAAGCTATTTTTGCCTAAAAGACTATAAACATAAGCTGCACCAAACAGTCTGGCACAAATTTTCAAATTAAAATAAACTATAATCATCTTCTATAATCCACACCAAACACCCCCCAGTACAATTAACTTCACCGCTTGAGAATGAGCCGCTAATTGCGCCCTCTATGAGTCAAGTCCGGTTCAACTGAAAGTACATTTCGACTCCACTACTATCTCTGATGATTTCATATTTGGTGTTTGATAATTATAATTTAACACTTGAGAGCACATGTTTGAGGTCTTGTCTTCTTTTATTTTGATTAATTTTGAAAGTGATTAATTAATCTGTGTTGGTCAATAGAAAGATAACATGATTTAATAATGTGTAATTGATAAAAAGTAACCCATAACATTATTACCTGGTATTTAATTGGTGGGAAATCTATATAATAAGGAAGGATAGTTTTTGAATTCTGATGGGACTTTTGTCCCTTTGTCAAAATGTGAACCCTTAGATTGATTCAATCCAAGGGCTGAAAATGTATCTCTCTCACACACTTACTCCTCTTATCTCTTTTTTTCTGATTTCAAATTTTGAACACACCCTCTCTCTCTCTCTCTTCCCGTCTTCATAACTCTGTTTTTTTGGTCAATTTGAGACGCAACACAACACTCTTCGAAGGAGGAAGAGAAGAATAGAAATGTCGAAAGAGAATGTGTTTATTGGGTCAATCAATCAAGGAACCACCAGTACCAGATTCATTCTCTACGACAAAAATGCCCACCCAATTGGATCTCACTAGGTCGAGTTCACTCAGTTCTACCCACAAGCAGGGTATGAAGAACTCTCTCTCTCTTTCTCTATCTCTCTCTGTGATTGCTTTATTTTTTTTATTGTTGTTTTGTTTGTGAATCTGCAGATGGGTAAAGCACGATCCGATGGAGATTCTGGAGAGTGAGGATTTGTATGAGCAAGGCAATTGACAAAGCCATTGTAGATGGGTACAATGTTGACGGTGGACTCAAGCCAATCAGAGAGAAACAATGACCGTTTGGAGCAAATCTATTAGTCTCCATTGTAAGAATATCCATCAAGTGGCCCATATACCACATGTTTGTTTTATTTATTTATTTATATTATATATATTTAATTAGTTTAATGGTTAATAGGTAACTGACGTCTGTTCATTATCTCATATAGTGGTTTCATGGGACCTTACAACTTCCCTGATGATGGGAAGTTATAAGGAGTTACACTTAGATATAGGTCCAAGCCTATCTATATATATACCTATGATAGTTATCAAATACAGACGTTGTTTTGTGAATAGAATAGGCTTGAAACTCTGTTCCTTCCACTTTTCCCATATGGTTCTGTAAAAGTGTTCAGTGAGTGGGTTTTGTTTATACATTTAAGATTTGACCATTCAAGAACAAGATTCAAAGACTTGAACATCATGGCAGGAGGTATTCTTCTTTCTGAATTAATATTATTTTAATTCTCACAATTGGTATCGGAGCCTCCTTCTGTTTGTGGTTCAGTATTACTGTAATTTATGGAGGCCAAATCTTGTTAGATCATATTTTATTTTGTTTTCGTTTGTGCTGTCCATATAATATAATGGCCTGATCACTAGCACAATACTGTAGCATAAGGAATCAGAGAACCAAAGTTATTTCAATTATTATTCTCAGTTTTGAGAATTCATGAAACTTGTTTATTTTAATTCTACTGTTCGAAATTGATTTTGCAAGTGTGTAATGGTTTGGGGCATTTAGATTGGTTAATATCTATATGGGTATAAAGCATATCTTGTTGCATAATAAAAAATAAAAAAAAAAAGAGGAAGGAAGGAAGGATTGAATCACCAAATTGTTTCTAGTTTTTATTCATCATCTCTAATAATAGATTTCCAGTGGGATCAGCTTTATTAAAATCTAAATTTTATTCTTTAAAAATCTATTTTTGTTTCCATTGATTTAGTGAATTTATATGTATAATAAACGTGGAAAGTAGCAGATGATCAACTTATATTAAGTTTTATTTGTGGAGATCACATTGATTTATAATTGCTTTCTTTATTTTTGAACTTTTGTGATTATGGTTTTACTGTTGATCAAACAATGCATTCTGATAACTTTATATGCATTAGACAATTAGTCCTGTATATGTGGTTACGAGTAGATCAATATTTAGTCTTAATCTTTGAAACCTACGCTAGTTTAATTTATTGTTAAATATTATAGTAGGAATGACATGTTATGAAAGACATTTTATTGTAGTTGCATGTGAAAGTAATGAGCAAATTTAATTGAATTTCATACAGTGAATTATAACATGTTCTTTTATAATTTTTGAGATTCATTGGCATGTTATCTAAAATAATGTAATATAATATTACATGCATTAAGGTAATTATTTATGCATTGAAAATTTATGTGAAATAAGAGCATGTATACACTATGTGTTGGGCTTATGGAATTTATTTTGGTTCAATTTTTAAAGCAAAATCTAGTATAAGGTTGAATTACATGTGTTTGGTCTTGAGATTTTTCATGTGATATTACTCTGATTGTATGTATTATACATTGTGTGCATTAAAAGATTATGTATTTGTTGTGACTATAAGGATTTGCTCTCATTAATAAGTAATGCCATATGTTAGGTTTTATTCTTGGCAACCCCGTTTGACAAAACTCGTTTCAGTTGTATTTATTTTCACACTTTTATTTCAGTGTGGCTATGAGTGTTTAGATGCGAATCCAACCCGAATTGTGTATTTCAGAGAAGTTTGTGATGCTAATGCTTTCAAGATTGCCACTTCCCTGATTATGACGAGGATCGAGCTGCCCGGTCAGCTCGCGGGGGTTGAGGGGGCAGCGCCCCTTGGCGGGTCCAGGGCAGCGCCCAGGCGGGGTTGAGGGGTAGCAGCCCCGAAGCAAAATGCAAAAATGCATTCCAAGTTGCCTATCCGCGAGCGGACATTCCCCCGCTCGAGCGGAAAATGCTGGGTTTCAGAAGTTTGTCAGGTCTGTAAAAATACTAGAAGGTGTGATTTCGCGCTCGAGCGGGTTCTCCAGCTCTCGAGCGGACCTCTGTTTTGTCACACGCATATTTTGCTGAAGACGCTCGAGCGTGATGTTGGGCGCTTGAGCGGACCGCGCGAACACAGTTTTCCGGATTTCAATAAGGATTGGGTTTTCTTCCAAATCTAGGATTACTTTTGGTTTTCTATAAGTAGTTGGTTTTCTCCCAAAACTAGACGACTCCTGAATTCCTCCAGATCTTCTTTTTGGTTCTTAAGGTTTATATCTGGGGATATTTTGTTAGTTTTCTTTGATGTTTTATTGAGTATTCAACTCATGGTTTAAAGAGAGTACATCAAAGGTTTTGTTTGTTATACACAAGAGAGAAAGAGTTGTTCTTCGGTGGATTCTGAAAAATTCGAGCCTGAAGCTTCGGTGGATTCTGGAGTAGCTCATCGTAAAGACAATTCCGAGGTGAAGACGGGGTTGGAAGAGGCACATAGAGGTTGGTTCAATTAGGCGTGGATTCGCTAGGTAATTGAGAGTATACCTGTGTAATTCCTTTAAACCTTCATTTGCCCGTAGTTTTCTTTAAATCGTTGTGTTGATTTGTCTTGATTGTTTGATTGGGATTGTTATATACTGCTTAAAATTGATACATAATCACAAATCAACATCTAGGGGATTTCTAGATTTTTCACTTTGGTCTAGATTTTCTGACATATCTGTTAGAAAATGAACCTCAAAGCTTTAAGGAAGCAATGACAGGCCCTGAAGCACCTTTGTGGAAAGAGGCTGTTAATAATGAAGTTGAATCCATTATGCAAAATCATACTTGGGAATTGGTGGATCTTCCACCAGGATCTAAACCTCTTGGATATAAATGGATATTCAAGAGAAAAATGAAAGCAGGTGGTTCAATTGACAAGTATAAAGCAAGACTTGTAGTAAAAGGTTACAAACAAAAGGACTGTCTGGACTATTTTGACACATATTCCCCTGTGACAAAAATAACATCCATTCGCATGCTCATTTCTATAGCAGCGTTATTTAATTTAGAAATACATCAAATGGATGTGAAGACAGCTTTCTTAAACGGTGATCTAAATGAAGAGATCTATATGGAGCAACCCCAAGGGTTTGTAGTATCAGGACAAGAAAAGAAAGTTTGTCGACTTGTAAAATCCCTTTATGGATTAAAACAAGCACCTAAGCAATGGCATGAAAAATTTGATCATGCAATGCTTAATAATGAGTTAGAGCCCAACGAATAACAACTATGTAAAGGGGTTATGAATGATGTCCTTACAGCATTTGAAATAATCAATTATCAATAGAACATTTTCAATCTATATCTTTT